GAAGGAAGTAAGACTTGGAGGTTTACGGGAGTATATGGCTGGCCAGAGAAGGAAAATCATCAGCTGACATGGGAAATGCTAAGGAATCTACACAATGGAGGAGAGGAAGCTTGGTTGTGCGCAGGTGACTTCAACCAGATTTGTTCAAATGCTGAAAAGGCAGGTGGTGGGCTGGTTCAAGAAAGCAGACTTATGGGGGGGGAAAATCCCAAGTTACACATGTTTTTAAAAAAAATTCTCAAAATACACACGTTATGAAAATAATTCCCAATCTACGCATGTTTGGGCCATCACCGCTGTCAACGAAGACAGTGATTGCATCATCGCTTTCGACGAAGACAGTGATTGCATCACTGTTTTCGACAAAGACAGTGATTGCATCACTGTTGTCGACAAAGACAGTGATTGCATCACTGCAATACACGGCCGCAGTGAAGGCCTAACCTGCGTCGAAACTTTAAACAAACGTAACTTTGTGCTCGGTTATCCGATCGTAGCGAATTTTTTTTTGATTCCGCATAATTTTTTCGAGATCTTGCAAGCCGCAAATTGCCGTAGGCGGTTTAGTCCCGCTTTCGTCTCGAAAATATGTCGTTTGCTACCCCGAACGAGCCTTTTTTCGATTTCGTCAAACTTTGAACGACCATAACTTTGTGCTCCACAATCCGAAAATCATGAATTTTTTTTTTGATTTCGCATAACTTTTTAAGGACTACAATATTTAGTAGGAGAGAATTTTCAAAAAATGAATTATTTATGGATATAAGGGGTTTTGGGAATAACTTTACCTTCCTTTTCAGGAATCCAAGTACATTCCGAAAATATGTCTATGATAAAAATTGTATTCCTTAAAAATTTATGCGAAATCAAAAAAAAATTCATGATTTTCGGATTGTGGAGCACAAAGTTATGGTCGTTCAAAGTTTGACGAAATCGAAAAAAGGCTCGTTCGGGGTAGCAAACGACATATTTTCGAGACGAAGGCGGGACCAAACCGCCTACGGCAATTTGAGGCTTGCAAGATCTTGAAAAATTATGCGGAATCAAAAAAAATTTCGCTACGATCGGATAACCGAGCACAAAGTTACGTTTGTTTAAACTTTCGACGCAGGTTAGGCCTTCACCGCGGCCGTGTACTGCAGTGATGCAATCACTGTCTTCGTCGACAGCGGTGATGCAATCACTGTCTTCGTCGACAGCGGTGATGGCCCAAACATGCGTAGATTGGGAATTATTTTCATAACGTGTGTATTTTGAGAATTTTTTTTAAAAACATGTGTAACTTGGGATTTTTTCCACTTATGGGATTCAATAATGCTTTGTCGGATTGTGGTCTTATTGATATGGGTTTCATTGGATACCCCTACACCTGGGATAATAGACGAAATGTGTCGGCTTTCATTGAGGAAAGGTCAGACCGGGCAGTGGCTAACAAGAAATGGTTGGACCTGTGCCCAAGGGCTTTAGTGATGCATCTGGATGAGGTGGATTCTGATCACCTTCCTATTCTTATTGATTTCGAAGGGGAGAAGGAAATCAAGATAAAGTGGGGGGAAAGTTTTCGATTTGAATCCTTTTGGGCGAAAGAAGAAGAAAGCAGTGTTATTGTGAGTGAAGTTTGGGTACAGGCGGGAGTTGATAGTTTGGAAGATGGCTTGAAGCAGTGTGAAGAAAGACTTACTAGTTGGAGTTCAGAGAAGTTTGGAGAAATCCCAAAGAAAATCGCTAAGGTTCGAAAGAGAATTAAAGAAATAAAGTCCCAAGTGAAGGATTCTACTTGGAGATCCAGGAAGAGGAAATTGGAGATTGAGCTCCAGGACATGCTATAAAAAAATGAGCAGCGGTGGAAACAACGATCTCGAATGGAATGGTTAAAGGAGGGCGAAAAGAATACGAAGGCTTTCCATGCCAAGGCTTCTGAGCGAAGAAAGAAGAATACAATCCGAAAGTTAAAAGATGAAAGTGGAAGAATTTATAGGGGCCAAGAAGAATTAAGTGATTGTCTTACTACCTACTATGCAGATCTGTTTAAAAGCAAGAGTGGGAATGTGAACTGGGAATCCTTGAAGCAGTAGAGAAGAAAGTAACGGGTGAAATGAACCAAAAATTGCTTAGCCCTTTCACGACTGAAGAAGTCCAATGAGCCCTTTTTCAACTGGGTGCCACGAAAGCTCCAGGCGTTGATGGCTTTCCTGCCCTGTTCTTCCAGAAGAATTGGAGCACTCTGGCCCCTCGGGTGACTGCTGAACTGACGAGTTTTCTCCACAATGGCAGCTTCCCGGAAAGTCTTAACAGAAACTTGATTGCTCTGGTACCTAAGGTAAAAACCCATGCCTCTCCTAAGGATTACATACCTATAAGTCTATGCACAGTTCTATACAAAATTCTCTCAAAAACAATTGCAAATCGGTTAAAAGGAATTCTAGATGATTTGATATGTGAATCGCAAAGCGCTTTTGTCCCCGGAAGGTCGATCGTTGACAACGTTATTGCCGCCTTTGAATGCTTCTATACCATGAAGAACAAGACTAAAGGTGAAAAAGGCTTCTTAGCTCTAAAACTCGACATGGCGAAAGCCTACGATAGAGTCGAATGGGGTTTTCTTGAAAGAATTATGAGAAAGATGGGATTTGATGAGAAGTGGATTAACTTGATTATGGCATGTGTTTCCTCTGTATCATATGTAGTATTGGTGAATGGACATAAGTCAGAATTCTTCAAGCCTGGGAGGGGTCTGCGACAGGGAGATCCACTCTCTCCTTACCTCTTTTTGTATGCTCAGAAGGCATGTCTGCCCTGGGGAATAAGTATGGAAAAGAAGGAAATAACCATGGGATTAAGATTTGCAATAAGGCTCATGTTATATCCCACTTGCTTTTTGTCTATGACTGTGTGCTTTTTGCTAGGCCAAATATCCAGGAAGCGAGGATGCTTAAGGAAATTCTGAAGCAATATGAGCTCGAATCGGGTCAAATGGTGAACCTTGGTAAATTAGAAATTTACTAAAGCAGCAACATCAAAGGTGATAAAAGGGAGGAAATCTGCTTAGAGAGGGGAATAAAGGAGGTTGACAAGTTGGCCAAGTATTTGGGTTTGCCAACAATGGTGGGGAGATCTAAGAAAGTGGTCTTTCATAATCTACAAGAACGAGTAAGGAGCAAACTGACTAATTGGAAAAGCAGGTATTATAGTGATGTTGGAAAAGAAATCCTGATTAAGAGTATTGCTCAGGCACAAACCACTTACGCAATGTCTGTCTTTAAAATCCCTGGTGGAATTATTGATGATATCCATAGTCTCATGGCGAATTATTGGTGGGGGCAGAAAGGAACAGAAAGAAGAATCCACTGGAGAAAATGGGAAAAACTCAGCAAGAGGAAGGAAGATGGGGGATGGGATTTAGAGACCTCAGAATCTTCAACAATTCTATTCTTGCAAAGCAGCTATGGAATCTTCATGTGAGACCTACCTCTCTTGTGGCTCGACTCTTAAAGGCTAAGTATTACCCTCGAACATCCATTCTGGAAGCTAAGTTGGGATGGAGGCCGAGCTATATTTGGAGAAGTCTTGTTGGAGCTTTGGATCTACTGAAATATGGAAGTCGATGGAGGATTGGCTCTGGCGAGGAAGTGAAAATCTGGGGTGATAAGTGGGTTCCTAATCTGGTTAATCATGAGGTTTATTCCTATTTCCATTTTATGGATTGGGATGCCAAAGTTTCGAGCCTTATTGATCAAGAGACAAGAAGATGGAGACATGATCTTCTTGAGATAATGTTTTCTGCAGAAGAACAGCAGGCTATTTTGGCCATTCCTCTCTCTTCAGTTATCGAAAAGGATGTTTTATGCTGGAGAGGGTCTGACGATGGTGAAATCTGGTTATTGGATTGAACAGGAAAGAAGACAGGAGGAGAGAACAGGAAGCGAGAGAGGTACAGATGAGGAGTTTTGGTGGAAGAAACTATGGAGACTTAATATGCCAGGAAAGATTAAAGCATTTATGTGGAAAGCTGCTCACAATATCCTCCCCGTGGAAGTCAAGATCAGTAAAAAAAAAGTCAAAACTTGGGCGACGAATGTCCTAATTGTGGTACCAGAGAAACTCTTAAACATTGCCTGGTTGACTGTAGTTGGAATACAAGGATTTGGAGTAAGACGCCACTGGCAGAGATGTTCTACAAAGCAGAAGGTTTAACCTGCAGAAAGTGGCTTTAGGAAGTATTGAAGAACTATTCGGAGAAGGAAATTGCACAGTTCTGCTCCTTACTATGGTTTTTCTGGAAGGATCGTAATAACTTTCTATTCAATAATAAATTTATGCAGGATTGGGAGATATTTCCTCGTGCAGATGAGTTCATTCAGTGCTACCTGGAAGTTCAGGGTAAAGATCAAAAAGCTATAAGGCAATGATTATAGGATGCAGCATAAATGGCAAAAACCACCAGTTGGAGTCTTTAAATTGAACACTGATGTTGGGATTACAAATAGGGGGGAAGTGGGACTTGGATGCATCCTGAGAGACTGGAATGGAGCTGTTGTGTTTGCTGCTAATAAGAAAATCAAGGTTAGATGGCCTCCGGACGTTGCTGAAGGGATGGCTATTTTGTTTGGATTGCGTTTGGTTGCTGATTGGGGAGGAGGCGCCATAGTGGTGGAGTCTGATTGTCAGAAGGTTATCCATTTACTGAAGAAAGCAAAGAGATGCAGTACTGAAGTGGGAAGCATTTGTGCTGAGATATTGAATATGGCTGAGGCCCTGGATGTTAGAGATTGGATCTTCACTTATCGAGAAGCTAACAATATAGGCTGGTGCTCATTTAAATTCTTCCTCTTATGATGATGTTGTTTGGAAAAATAGGGTTCCTTTGATGTTAGCTGATGCTGTAGCCCTTGAGGCATCCCTTTCTTGATTCTTATGAATCCCATCAGCTTTACCCTATAAAAAATGTAAAAATCACCCCTAACTCAAGTACTTGTTTCAATTTTTTTCACGTCATACCATCTTTAGATCAACGTTTAAGCAACCAGACTTTATAAAAATAAAATAAACGTTTAAGCAACCAGAGAAGCAAGCTGAAGAATAATCAGAACGATGAGGCAGCAAAATTGCATTGTCAATACAAACCCAGTTTACATCTTCAATTTAGGGAAAGAGAAGATATCAGCAGTTCCCTTAATGGTGCAGGCTAACCACATCTACTCCCTAATATTTTATATCCCGTCTTACACCAGAAGAACAGCATTTATACAACCATCATTCTCAGGGTTATTCGTCACTTGGGCGTATTTCCCTGCATCACAACCAAATTGGAAATCAGAAAACCAAACCATGAAAATCAATACAACAAAAGGCACAAGGAAATGGACACTAACCCCAAACAACTTTGCCGCCAGGTGTAACAAGTCCCAATTCACTCACATTCACCTGTTGTTCGCGACGAGTAAAACATTAGAGATGAAAGCCGAGAAACACTTTTTAGCTGTCATACAAAAGACCCAAAAAGCATGTTCAAGGAAGGCTGGAAGGGAGATTACCTCGATGATTGTTCCCTTGGTCATGACTCCAAGGGATGTGTACATTGGACCGTTGGGGTTCTTCTTCACCCCAATGATCTCAAGGTTGAATGTGCATTTTAGCTCGGGATGGGTAACATGGGCCTTGGTGAAACGCAACCCTGATGGGCGGATGAAACGCTCGTACTTTGGAGGCTTTCTTGTGAAACCGGGTCCAACGAATGTCGCCTTAGTCACCATTCGTTTCCATTGCTTGGCTGGAAATGTACAGAGAGCACATAATCACTCAGCCAGAAACTTCAGTACATAAAATAGTGAAAAAGTAACAACATGGTGTATGGGGCTTACTCTTCCTTTTCCCAGATCTAAGCACTTTGAACATCTCATCTTCTGCAACAGGCCTCACCTAAAATAGCATGAAACACATCTAGTTCAGAATAGCTGATACAGAAGGGAAATCAATAAAGACGTCAAATCGAAACATCAATGAAAAAAACAACACCTAAGCATATTACCTTTGGCAGAGGAACTTCCCATTTTCCTGCCTTCTCTTTCCTTTTCTGCTTTATGGTGTTGCTAAGAATCTACATAAAAAACCAACCCAAAGTAATAAGAAATTTGATTTAACAATAGAAAAATACAATACCATGAACAAATATGGGCAGAAACACTTCTCACTTTTGCACGAGTTGTAGTCTCACGATCCAGCAGATAGGCAGGAACAGCTCCTTCCTGAACCTCATCATCAACCTTACGCCTAGATGATGACTCTTCATGCATTTTCAATCTATTGAAAAAAGACACAAGATTACCAGGGAACATCAGTTACCTGGAAAAAAACGATATTCGAAGACAGAATGGTTGCCGAAATTCGTGCTCAGGCTGTCTATTTTTGAATACCAACTTAACACAATTCATTAAGCTGCCAACTGACCAAGAGGGTATCGACCAGTAAACGATTCCACTATCAACTCATTACATTCCTTAGTGATGAGGAAACCACAACAGCAACTTTGCTTCCAATATGTTTATCGGTGATACTGAATAATAACTGGTTTCACAGCATTTCACTGCTTATTAACAGGGACTCGTCACTCATATGGCCATATTTGCTCTAGAATATATATCTTGGCAATCAAACGTTTTACCCCGATTCTCAGGTATAACCTAAGCAGACGAGCATCCACATAGTTCTACCACTAGAACGGAGAGAAGATTCCGGCAAGAGAGAAACAATTCAAACTTACGTTCTTTTCATTTGAACCTTCTCCTTATAGTTCTTCTTGGCAATCATCTTGCCCTTGATACCGAGCGACTTCTGCGCCCGTTCGGAGTGCTTGTGAACCTCACGCGCCTCCTTCTTGCGCTTCCGCTCGAAGTGGTCGAGGCGGTAGCCATGCCTCTTCCTGTGAAGCTCGATGTAATCACCTTGCGGCTGTAAAAAAAAAAGCACAGGAGAAGAAGCTAGCTCGTCAGAAATCAGATCGAACTACCGTATTGTGGCAAACTAAATCAAAACCTAGGTGGAGCGGAATCGGCAGGCAGGGACGAACCATGGTGACTTTGGTTTGGGGATCAGTTTACTGGAGAGACTCGGAGCGGAAGCGGGGAGAGAAGAAGAAAACCTAGTTCCGTTGTGGAGTGGGGTTTTGTTTGGGTTGAGAAGACATCGGTTTAGCGGTGCGGGCCGTTGCAAGCGGATAACGAACTGGGTCGGTGGTTTGCGTGCCTGACAGAAGCCTCTAAAAAGTTGGGCCGGTGAGAGCATTTATCCTTGGGCCGGAGTTGGACGAGATGTTCTCGGTCCAAAAAGTTTGACGGATTTGGTAGTGGTTTGTAGAACTCCCGGTCCCTTGGTGATTACAGTTTCATAAATTCAATTCGTAACTTGGAGTGGGCTGTAAATATGAGTACAACTAACTCGCTTTTGATCTAGTTCGTACTTATCTCGTTTACAAAAAAAGGCTCTAGTTCGGGTTAGGCTCTAATTGATGTCAGTACATCAACTAACTCATAAGTTCGGCTAGAGGTCTAGAGCTCGTTTTATTTATGAATCTAAATTAATTTTTTTATATAATTCATGAATATAAATGGTTGAATCACTAAAGTATAACATAATTTATAAATTAAATGTTATAATATTTTTATGCCATATATGATGCATCAGAGCATCCACATTGGTATTGCATTCTCAATTGCAAGATGACATGACAGGTGTGTTTGCAATTGCAAAATCAATTACATTGATGTGACTACCAATTGTATATTTGCAAGCTTAGAGCATCCACATTAATGGTATTTGCTCAATTGCAAATTCTATGTGGCACTCAATTTGCAATTGAAAAGGGATTGCACTAATATAGTGGCCACTTGCAAAGATGCAAGCTTGCATTAATTGAAATTGAAGATGCAAACTTGCATTAAATGAAATTGAAGATGCAAGCCACATATAAAAATTAGAAAAAATAAAAATTTATTTTTCTCTCTTGATTTATTATTTTTTATATTATAAAATCACTTAAACTCTCATGTATGCAATTGCAAGTGAATTGCATTGATGTAGGTGCAATGAAATAAAAATGAGTTGGATTGCATAAAATTTTAAAGAATAATATAATATCATATGCAATTGGATTTGCAATTGCATTGATGGAGATGCTCTTGCAACAAATGCAATTGCATATGAAAGTAAGAGCATCTACACCAAGCTATCATATTGAATTGCAAAGCTATATGGCAATAGAAATGCTTCAAATGCATTTGCATTTCTAATTGCATGAATGTAAGTCTCAATTTCAATAATGCAAGCTTTCATTTTATGCAATTGCCACGTAAGGATTTTTGCTTTTATAAAAAAAACATACAAATCTTTTATTTTATTACAAAAATAAGTTAATCTTACATATGCAATTGCAAGTTAATTGTATTGATGTATGTGAATGGAATGAATGTGATGTGGATTGAAAAAATTGAGTTGACAATAAAAAATAAAAATACAATTATTTTTGCAATTGCATTGATGTAGATGCTCTAAAAAAACCCTAAAAATGGAGATTTTTTACTTTATATTACTTTCTTTTCTATTTTACTTTCTTTTCTATAATTTAAAGATTTTATTTAATTACATGTGCAATTACAAGTTAATTGCATTGATATAGGTAAATGAAAGTGATATGAGGTGGATTGAAAAAAAAAAAAGAGTTGGCAATAAAAAATACAAAGACAATTAATTTTGCAATTGCATTTATGTGGATGCTCTCATATGTCATGATGAAAAAATTCATATTTTTTTAATGAGCGTAGTCAATTTTTCATCATTGCTCACATGTTTATATACTCTCTCGATGTCATATTATTTAGCTCGTTATCAGGCTATCAAAAATTAATTAGCATTTAAGCAAATATATACCACATATTTTCTGTTTCAAATTATAAATGAAACATATTTCCTCACTTACGTAAAGTCTTAACCCATCATATATAGTTTGATTATAATCTATCAAATTTATGAATTATAAACCCGCCAACTTATAATCTATTGTCAAATCGATTCGTTAGCCACACTTTCGAACCAACTTACTAGTTGAGGTCAACAAACCATCTAGTTAAGCAAACTGACAAGCCGACCACGGTGGACAAGACTTAGCTCAATCATAACTCGTTAGTATATGAACCAAATATGGAATGTGCTTTTCTTGAATCAAGGATCAATTCAATTGTGAACAATTTGGATCATATGCAATCTTAGTCCACAGTAAGTAGTTATTGCCCTAGATGTACTTTTTAATGAATCAGACATGAGTTATATTTATATTAACAAGTATTCTTGTAGATGTAAAATAATAAAGGTTTCGAATTGACCTAGGAAAATCACGTGTTAGAGGTGGTAATGTTATATCCAATCCAATCCAACAACTAAAATATCCGATTAATTCAATTAATTTAATCTAAATTTGATTAGATTGGTGGATTTATGGATATTTAGAAAATTATAATTTAGTGCCTGCAAATTTTATATTTACAGTTTGATACCTAAATTTTAATTTTTAACATAAAATATCATTGAAAATTACATTTTAACATCTAATTTTTATATTTTGACATTTTAGTACCTAAATTTTTTAATATTAATATATTAGTTCAATATTTAAATGTCATTGGATCATGAATCCAATCCACCACTACATTTTATTCAATACATAAATCTAGGGGTGGCTATACGGTCCGGTTAAATTGGCCCAAATTGATCCGGTCCAGTCCGGTCTTTTTGAAAATATAAGGACCAAAAATTGGATTGGATATAGTCCGGTCTTGATCTGGTTCGGTCCCAATTCGATCTTGATTTTATATTGAACTTGTGGGGATTTGAGTGGCCTAAGGCCTTAAAGGGTGAGGAGTTGGTTAAGTTTTGTACTAAGTGCAAAGGTTTGTGACCGTTTATGCAAATTACCCTTAAGTTTTGGGTGTTGAGCTCTCTTACCCGGTCTTTATCCAGTTTTCGATCCGGTCCCGAACGATTTTTTTACCTCAAATGACAAATCTAAGCCCAAAAATTGGATTGGATTGTTTACTATCCTGTCCCGATCCGGTCTCAGTCCGAGTTATACGATCCGATTTCGGATAAAATAAAAAAACCCAAACCAAATAACCAGCTCTACATAAATCCACAAATATTCTTCATCCAAATTCATCAACCCGAAAATAATCCAAATAGCTTAGTTAAAAGGCAAACTGCATATAGCACCACAATTGAGTTTGGCAGTGCAGTTTCTGTATTTTTCGTATATAAATGGATGGGTAGTTTAAACTTAAAACTAAAAACAAAATATACAAGATTTGGGTAAACTAAAGTAGTGATGACGATGGCGCGGAGCGAATAGCTCAACACCCATACCCACCTCGTACTAAACAGGGCCCAGATAGTATAACAACACCTTAGGTGTTGTTATACTAACAACAAGATTCATTAAGGGTATAAGGGTAAATTTGTCTAAAATTTAATAAAATTAAAATATATTTAGCCCATCCACCATCCCTCGTCTCCTTCACACACCCCTGGATCTCGATTCTTCTTCTCCCTTGTCGGCTACACTGTAAAATCAAAACTCTCAACGCATTTCAACTCCGTCGTCCCTCCGTCATAGCTCGGATCTGAGAGTGCAATGACTTTGTGCATTGCATGGAATTGGGTTCCCGACTGGCGAGCTCGAAGACAGCCTGCAACGCGTGCGATATCGATCGGTCATTCGGCGGCGGCGAAGGGTCGCTGCTGCTGCTCTGTCGGAGGAACTGCAGGAATTTGAGAGCTTGCGAGGAAGACAGCAACCGGCGGGCGATTTTGAAGAGGAAGAAAGGGGAAGCGGAGAAGAGGATTTGATTCAGTTGCGCTGCATCCCATTCGTTTTCTGGCCTCCGGAGGATCTCCAGAGCTTGCTTCAAGACCGGAGCATCCTGTTCCGCCGGCAGCTATGGTGGAGGAATGACGGTGGTAGGTTCGGTAGAGAGAAGACGGCGGTGGCACGAAGAGAGGCAAACGAAGGAGCGAGTTTTGAGGAGGAGCTTGAGAGGGATTGGAGAGCAGATCGCCATTTTTTGGGGCGGAAAGGTTGACGCCGGCCCTGGCTGACTCGGCGAGCTCCACCGTGACATCCCGGGCGCTGGCAATAGCGGCGACCTGAGCGATGGTGAGGGTTTCGCCGCCGAGTTTGACGGAAGGCTGACAGTACTCGGCGACCATGCGCTTGACCTCGTCTAGGTGGCTACCTTCATGGCCTCCGAGGCGAGATTAGGAGGAAGAGCCCAGAATTGGGCGGGATGGGAGTAAGAAAGAGGTGGAATTGAAGGAATTTTTTTTCCAGTTCGTGAGATCAAATTGAAGGGAAGTAATTCGAGATTAGGAGGAAGGAGATCTGTGTGAAGAGGAGATAGTAGAGTGGGAAGGGCTTCGGGAATGGTGTGTAAGAGTTCGATTTCCCTGACTTCGCTCGCAGCAATTAGGGTTTGGACAAAAAAGGGGAAAATAGAAAATGCATACTATAAACCTTCTAATACAGACCACAAATCACCTAAAACAAATCAGAAAAAGCATACCAAAAACCTCATAAACCAAACCGCAGATGCTCTAAAACATACTAGAAACCCCGCAAAGCAAACTATAGAATTTTCAAAAACACACCAGAAACCTCATAATTCAAACCACAAACACGTTAAAGCAAACCAAAAAAACAAACCAGAAACGTCCTAATGCAAACCAAAAATCTACTAAAACAAACCAGAATCCCCGCAAAGCAAACCACAAAATTTTAAAAAACACACCAGAAATCTCATAATACAAACCACAAACACAATAAAGCAAACCACAAAAACAAACCAGAAACGTCCTAATGCAGACCAAAAATCTATTAAAACAAACCAGAAACCCCGCAAAGCAAACCAATTTTTTTTTTAAAGCAAACCAGAAACTTCTCAATGCAAACCACAAACACGATAAACTAAACCAGAAACTTCTTAATGCAAACCACAAACACGATAAAGCAAACCACAAAAGGCATACAAAAATATGAGAAACCAAACCATAAATCTCACAATGCAGACCATAACATCCGGTGGTCGTTGACCGGTCAACGAACTTCGTTGACCGAACTCCGATGACCGT